TGTCCCCATAAGCCATAATTGCACATGTGTGGCACAGCTATTTTTATTAGATTTGTTGCAGAAGTAAGGGCCTGTTTTGTTTAAATGGACTTGCTTTTGAACTGTAAAAATTTAATCGTGATAGTTTATTGGTTCAGCTCTGGAGAAGCTGAGGCAAAGCTATTTTGCTCCAGCCAGAGCTATTCATATACCATCCCTGAGAGCTTCTTTTTCTATTATTGGTGTTACTGCGCACTAAAAAAGGGGGTGGTAGAGAAAACTTAGGGTTTTTATTCTGTGCCCTTATTCACCGCAGTGATATTTTTAGATGCTTTCATCTAGTGCATCTCTTCAGAAAAGGCTTTATCCTTTTGCTGTAGAGGCAAACAGGAGCTCGGCTTGAAGCCATTCCTTCTCAAGCCGGCTCTTTAGAAGGGTGAAGGGATCAGAGAAAGTGGAACTCTGTGTGTGGATTGAACCTCTTTGCCCTTAGCCCCTTCCTGATCAACACAGCTGCCTCATTGAGGGGAGAAAGGACCATGAATTTAACTGAATCGGCCTTTAAGAAAAGGGGTTAAATTTAAGAGACTGTTTCTTTGCATTTCTCTAAGCAAAAAGAAAGATCAGTTTTAGAGTTTGTCCTTACCTGTTTTGCTTCTGGAGAAGACCATTATTCTGCTTAGCTTTCCTTTAGAAGAGTGCTTTGTTGAGCTGGGCAGGCAGGTAATCGTGGTTGCAGATACCTGCTGAATTGGACAAGTGCAGAAGAGAATGACAGCAGAGTAGCTGCTTTGGTGGCTGGAATTTGTTAGCTAAAGCTTGGAGGACAACTACATTCTAAAGAACATCAGACATCTACTTCAGTGTCCTATAGCAAAGCTGGGTTTGGGAACATTAGTAGATCTGCAGCCCCAAAAGTGGAGTGGTTGAATCTCAACAAAAGCATGAGATTTCAGGCCTGGACGTGGGCCTCAACAGAAGAGTTTGAAAGCAGTGCTTTAGCCTGTGATGCAAAGACTGCCGAGTGTGCCTGGATCCTTTAATCTGGCCGCAGTCTTAGAGAGCAGCACATTGCATCTGTGCTGTTATCTTCAAATACGGACATCCGTGCATGGATATGTACCTACAGCCTGCTGTCCATCCATCCTTTTATGTTATCATTGAAATATTAGACTACTTATTATGTTTCCCTTTTGATGTATTACCCACTTATGAGGCATACAGTAATAATATGTGAAGTTCTATTTACATCTTCTCCTGTAACATGAAACAGTATGTTTCAAAAAACAGGATTACATAAGACCTTTTCATTAAAATTTGATGAATTATGCACATTTTTGGGTTATGGGGAGTGATAGGCTGAATGTTGGGCTTCATGACTGCAAATCAATTTGCAAAAGGCCATAGGAAAGGTAATGCTTAATATAATTCAACTTCTCCTTCATTAACATCTTGAACTATGGGGTAAAGTTTTGTATTTTTGTTCTGGAAATATAGCTGACATTAGCAGTCAGGTATACAGCTCAGTTTATCTCTAGTGAAGAGTCTTTTAAAATTAAGTTAAATACAGCAAAAATGACATAGAAATCAATAGTATTTCATTTCTTTTAAGTAAGATCTTTCTATACGTATTTGCTTGGGGTGCTAATAAATTTCTCCCTTTACAGAAGTATTTTATAATAAATGTCAGTTATAGATTTAACTGTAGCAAAAAAATAGGCAGGGTCTGTAGTACCTTTAATATATCAGGTAAAAAACTGCTTAGCTAAGTATTAGTGTAGGAAATAGTGGTAGTCTCCTAAATAATCTATTTTAAATGTAGTGATATTAATGGGAGAGCATTTAGGACCTTAATATGTGGAATATTGTAGAATTCAGTATATCGTGCTTTCAGATAATTTAAGCTTCTTTGCTTATTGGATTACCTATCATAACCCTTTACACAGAGTAGAGATACTATAAATATTTGCAGATGGATTTGAACTTGACTCACAGATATTTTCTTTTTTGTCTGATTACTCCCATAGTATTATGAGATTTAGTTATCTTAGTATTTTGATTAATGTCTAAAGATTTTAATCCTAATATTAGCTGCAGTTAAAACTGAATTCTAGTGGCTTTAGCAAGTAATTGATAGAACTAACTTGGTTAAAACTAATTTATTAAAATATTAGTAATTGAGCATTGGGAAAAATCTCAGTTTTTTAATCAACATGTATGCAGTAGTAAGTTTAAAAGCACCACTAGGGGTGCTACTAAGGAAACATTTCCTCTCTCTAGAAATAGCTAAGTACAAGTTAAGTACAGTTGACTCTTGAACAACATGGGTATTAGGGGTGCCAACACCGTGTGCAGTTGAAATTCCATATGTAACATTTGACTTCCCCAAAACTTAACTATAGTGGGCCCTTGGTATCTGCAGGGGATTAGTTCTAGGAATTCCCTTCACCCCATAGATATCAAAATCTGCAAATGTTCAAGCCCCTATATAAAATTGCGTAGAGCAATGTATACAATAGGCCCTCCATATCTACAGATTCCAAACCATGGATCGAAATACTTTTTTCGACCCTTGGTTGCTTTAATCGTGGATGTGAACTTGCGATACAGAGAGCCGACTGTATTTATTGAAAAAAATTATGTATAAGTGGATCTGCAAAGTTCAAACCTGTGTTCAAGGGTCAAGTATACAAGTGTGACCACATTGGTGTTTACTGTGGCAGCCATACTAGATAGAATAATAGATTAAATTGTTCCTCACCTCTGATATAAGTTTTTTCGTGTGTTATATTGGGGGGAAAATGTAGGAGTCTGTAAAAGTTATTTCTGGGCTATCAGATTTATTTCTGTTTATAAGACGTTGATGTGTATGAGAGTAAGAGAGATAGATGCAGATTAAGACTTTGGCTTATAATATAGATGAAGAAAAATCAGCAATTAATATCTAAATTAAAATGTGACTTTTTTAAAACACTGGTGTGGTAGTAAAAGATTATGAATTGCTGTAGTTGCTGGAAAAACACTTAATTTCTTTATTCCATTTGACTGTCATTTTACTTTCTGAAGTGAATATTGGAATTTTAGTTTAAGAAGGAGGGGTCAGAAATCTTTATTTATCTGAGTAAAGATACCTACCACACTTTTTTTCTTCTGTTTCTGGTGATAACATTTGCCCCCTTAAATATTTCTCTATACTTTTTTTAAATGACAAAAGAAAAAGACATCACATGTATTAGTAGTTTCAATAGGTATGACAAATGTGGATGTTAACTTTTTAAATATAAAAAAAGTCAATTTCTTTTAGTTATCTAAGATTTCATAATTTTGACATGCTGAGATTGACCTTATAAAATATCCTAAAAATTCAAGATCAACAGTTAGCTAAAAAAAATTTTCAGGTCAGAATATAAAATACACTGTGTCAACAAAGGTAAAAATGTTTGTGGTCTTCAGTAGACTCATTCATGTTTTATAAGCTTGGAATTTTTCTCTTCCCTTAATCTTTACCTAACAAAAGATAGAGTTAGTCATCAGTGTGTTTTAGACATGAAAATATTCTGAGTCCCAGTGTGAGATCAGACTCTGCAACTGTTACCTTACAGAAAACTGAAGCAGCTTTCATGACCTTTAAAGTTGGAGAAGTATCATTTCCTGTTGTCTCCACAACAGGGTACTCTGTTGCCCCTTGGCTCTTAGGTGTATCTCTAGAGTTTATAGGTTTTGACTATGGCTGGAAGAGGTCAGTGCAAATGGGCTCATCAGGGGCCGACTTTCATGGGCAGATTTTCATTTCAGTACTTTCGAAAGGGCTTACTAGGAGAAGAAAGTATAATTTTAGGTCAAACAGTTGCCAACTTAATATTTATTTGTAACTTGGTAAAACTACCACTTCTCACATGTGCACATGAAATTTAACACTTAAAAATTTATTTTATTTTATTTTCTACTATTTGATGTACATTGTTCTAGAGTACCATTTTTAATTTTTAGTTGCTATATTTTTTAATTGAGTTTAGAGAATTGTTAAGTTTATGTCATTTAAAAGAAATACATTTTAAAACTACCGCTAGGTACTTGCTAAATACCTGGCATATTTTTCTTGGTGTTGAAAAAACTGGTGAAGAAGACAAAGTCTCTTCTATCAGAGTTTTTCCAGTCCAGTAGGTTGTCATAGGCAGTATTCATTTAAGCAACTAAATGAGATAATTTCAGGTTGTGATAAGTATAATGAAAGAACCAAAATAGGTAATGGTGTTGCAGTGAGTTCGAGAGCTGGGAATGGGTGGAGTTGGAGAGCTACTTTTACAGGGAAGTAATAAAGGAAGGTCCCTTTAGTCTGTCAAAATGGACCGCTCATGGAACGACCTGGGAGAAGAGCAGGCGTCAAGGTCCTGACACTAGAGTGAGCTTGGCTTGTCCAGCTGATGGAAAGGAGGCTGATATGCCTGGCGCTGTAGTGAGTGGGGGTAAGGACAGTGCTGAGTGCTGAAGTGGGCTTGTTGGCTGTGCCAGATCATCAGGGCCTTATAGATGAAGAGTTTGGTTTTTTTATACATATAGGAGGAAGTCATTGGGAGGGACATGATCTGATTTATGCTTTTGAAAGACCACTCTGACCTCTGTGTGTAGAACAGATTATAGAGGGGAGAGAAAGGAGGCAAAGAAATCATTTAGAATGTATTGTTGTGGTCCAGGGCAGAGGTTGACAGCTGCTTGGACAAGAGCAGTAGCCCTGGAGGTTCTGAAAAGAAGATGGATTTGTGATAGATACATAATAGCCCCAAAGTAGGAAATGTGCTGGTTCATCGCTTTCTTTACCTAAATCCTGTGGTTTCTGATAATTGCAGAAGCTTTGAATCTCACTGTAATGCAGCAAAGGAAAGAATTGCTCCTAGGGCACATGAATGAGTTTAATTTAATTTACATTACAGAATTTACACCAGTCAGATTTTGTCTTATTAAATTTGGCAAGTTGCAATACCTATTTTATTTTCTTTAAGTGTAGCATTTTGTTATTGCAGGAAATGTTTTCATATTTGTCCATCCAACTAAAGAAGCTGTCAGAAGCCTACGATGAAAGACTGCTGCATACACCTCACAATCCCATATCTTTAGGTAATTTTTTTTCCTTATAAAAAAAAAATAATCAGAGCTTCTGAACCGTCCCCAGCAGGAAGCTGGTATTTCTAGAATAAGTATGAATTCCTTCTGGTTATAATGGTATTTCTAAGTTTATTACAGTATTAATTTTTAAATTGAAAAGGTTTAGTTAGCCTTCCTTTAGAAATGCTTTAATATATTTCTAAGGTAAAAAACTATATGCTGAAAGAATCCAAATCAATATTAAGTATTATAACCAATAAACAGAAAATAATACTTTTAACTCCTGCTTCTATTGAAAAGCATTTAGTCACTAGTAAGGACTCTATAAATACTTAAAATTCTCTCCCAGTTAATAAAACACCATAATATTAGAAGTTAAAGCCATTCTTACGTTGTTTTTAATGCTATTATTGTTTGTTTTCTCAAGGGTCTCTATGTTAGAGATTCTGCATTTATGATAATTCCCTTTGTTTGTGTAGAGACTGTGATTTTTGTCACGTAGACAAGAACTGCCAAACAGGATAATATGAATGTTGACTTTGATGCATTTAAGTATCTTTTAATCTTCATACTTAACCCTTTTAATTTGTGAATATGTACGGTATAATATGCTTCACATTTCATGTGTATCTGAGAAAAGTTAGGAAACAGTCATTTGTAACTGAAACCTTTTTCAGGAATGGGCTTCCACGGAGAACTGTTTGGCTCTCAATGTATCATAAAACCCATTCCAATCAATCCTTTGCTGGCTTATAATCTATGTAGATATTATGGAAGGTGATATGGTATGATTTGAATCCCAATTCTAACTTTCTTTCCCTTATCTATAAAATAGAGATAATGATCCCTCACCTGCAAAATTGTTAAAGAATGGTTGAGATTATATTTGTAAACTATCTAGTATGGTAAGTCCATCCTCGGGAAATGGTACCTGGTATTGGTGTTTGGTGGTATGAATAGACCCAGTTTACATAACCTTACTAATATAATTTTCATTTCCATATACAGAAGTTGATCTTACTTAGTCTTATATATATGCTGAAATATATCCCACATTCTCATTTTACAAGTTCTTAAAACATGGTTGAATTTGAATAAACTACTATGTGATCATGTCATAGTTCCATCTGTTTAATTGGAAAATTCACTCTTTAGAGAGGTAATATGGAAATTCTGTCCAATTCTGAGTATGTTCATTTATATTAATGTATTTTTGTCTGATATGCAAACAGATCTTTACTGTAATTTATTAAGTGCATTCAAGTAAAATCATGCCACTTGACAATGAATAAAAAGTAATGTCTCTGTGAAGTAAGCCGGTTACAAAAGACAAATACTGAGTGATTTAATTTATAGGAGGTACTTAGAGCAGTCAGGAATCATAGGGACAGGAAGTATAATGGTGGTTGCCAGGGGCTTGGGGAGTGGAGAATTGGGAGTTATTTTTTTAACAGGTACACAGTTTCAATTTTACAAGATGGTAAGAATTATAGGGATGGATGGATGGTGGTGATGATTGCACAACAATGTGAATGTATTTAATACCACTGAACATACATTTTAAAAATGGTTAAGATGGTAAATTTCATGTTATGTGTATTCTAACACAAAGAAAAGTAATGTCTCCATTATTAAATGTTGTTTTTTGAGTGATTTTTGTGCTGGTGAACCAGGGCTCACTGGGATGCTTTTTTCTTTTTCAGCTGTGACACTTAAGACACTAGATGAACACCATGGCAAAGCTGTCACTCAGCTTGGCTCGATGCTTTTTACCAGACAGGTTTCTGGAGCCAGGTATGTATGTTTAAAAGAGGCTTGGATTTATTTGGCTTTTTAAAGCTATTTGGCTAATAAAGTACCTTCTTTAACAATAGACCCCTAAGTATATGCTGAACTACCCCTGAGAATTCATTGTGGAGTAAATGGTGATGAAGTAGAGTCTTCAAATCTGTTATATGCCCACTGTGGGCTGCCTACACTTGAAATAGCCACAAAAAGCTATGAGTCTTGTTTGTTTTAATAGATATACAGAAACAAAAGTTCATTACCTCTCTGTACAAATGTTTATCTTTATTTCCTTGTTAGATAATCTTCAGTGATGCACTTAATGGTGTTAGAAATGATATCTTCATTATTAAATTTAAGCAAAAGTGTTTTTTAAGGAAAAGCCCATTTCCTAAACTGAAAAGGTTATGCAATTCTTGTTTAAGTACCACCTTTGAAACTGTACTTTTTGGTCTTTTATGTACATGGTTTAAAAATTAATTTTATTTTTTAATTTGATGATGGCAGAGAAAAATGACTTGAAAAGAAGTATCTTGTTCTAAGTATTCCTGTTTACATTCTTCTATTATTTTTTCTCTACCAGAGGTTAGAGATTTCACATCAAAGGACAACTTTCTAAAAGAAAAAATCTTAGATGAATTCAGCTTTTACCTTGATGAACTGTATGTGTATAACAGCATAGTTTGACACTTCTAGAATGGTTTTCTTGGCCTTGCTTTTAGTGTTGCTACTATCTCTTTATGTTTTAGTTGATCTTAATTGTCTTCTTTGAAAATAAAAAAGGACACCTAGAAATCTGCTTATATCAAGTATGCCAGTGAAATGAAGCTGAAAAAATGCATGTGCCATTGATGAATATTACTGATTGCTGACCAACATCCCTTATAAGCAGTTACATAATTTCTCTTGCATCCTGGCTTTAAAACCCTTATTGCATAGCACTGATCAGATGGGTGTAATTTTAGTTTGTTGATTATTTGAGGTGACACATGGCAATTAATCAGTGGTTTTGACTTACTAGTTTCACCATGCCATTCAGGTTCATATATGTGAAGTCAGAGTCCATTTTTGGTACAAAACCAAATAATTTTCTTTTGACCTCTTTGAAGAAGATGTACAGGTGTTTGCAATTCCTAAAGTTTGTACCTCTTTAATAGAAGAAAATTAAATGGTAATCACTTTTCCATGTAAAATTGAGTATATTGTATACTTTTTACTTAAAGGCTGACAGTCTTTTTTCATAGACCCTGAGTTATGGTCTTTTATAAACTTTTTAATAAGTAGATGTAAGGCTTAGTAATGCAGATACCTTTTGTTTATGGGTGATATATTCTGATATCACCAGACATACTAAATTGGTAAATTTTTTCCATTTTAGAGTTGTGCCTCTTGGGTCTGTGCAAACTGTGAGTGGCTACACTTTCCAAGGCTTCATGTCACATACAAATGATTACCCTTGTGCTTACCTCAATGCTGCATCAGCCATCGGAATGAAGATACAGGATGTGGACTTGTTCATAAAGAGACTGGACAAGTGTTTAAAGACAGTAAGAAAAGAACAAAATAGAGAGAACAATGTATCTGGAGTTGACGATGACAACACTGAAGATGTGGATACTGAAGAAATGGGCTTAAAACTAGAGAATGTAATTCTTGACACATATCAGGATTCTTCTTCATGACATGTGAAGGCTTTCTTCTTGATAATTTGAAAGAAATGATGAGGCAACAGTACAAGTTTAAAGAGAGGACTTGAGACTTTTGAATTGAGAGTGTCATGGACAATGTGTGGTCAGGGAATAGAATATGGTCTGATTTAGCCATTTATGATTGTTAACATTTTTTCTTCTTACACAGCCTCAATCATTATGATCCTTAACAGGTTATAATACACAATTAGCATTTTTCTAATTGTGAGAATATTTGTCAATTAAACATTATGATTCAGATAATTCTTACTAATAGAAGGACAGTAAAATTACCACCATACTCTTTGAAATGTTAGACTGCTTTTTCCCAACCCTTCTCTACCACTTACAAATGACTTATGTTTCTGATCACACAGAATTTAGAAAGATCTCTAATGCTACTAATTACTAGGTGTTTGTTGATGTGTGCAAGTCACAGTGCCTATAAAATGGACATTCCCCAAGGAAGCAGGGGAGAGCTTTCATTTTCTCCCAACATCAGTGGCTTTCAACTGGGGATGATTTGCTTCTATCTAAGCAACATCTGGGACATTTTTGATTATTATGACTGGTGGGATGGTATTGACTTCTAACATCCTACAGTAGACAAGACAACTTCCCCAAACAAAGAATTATCCAGCCTTAAATCTCAGTAGTGCTGAGGCTGAAACATTGCTCCAAGGTAAATGAACTCAAGTGAAGAGGTTTCCACAACAACTTCAATTACTTAGCAGTGCTTCAGAGAAGATAGCTCTATAGTGTTAATCTCTCTTTGTGGTACGGACTCCTTCCTAGGTAATAACCAGGGTTACCAGTCCTAAATATGTAATTATAAATTGTTTTATATGGCCTTGTGCATCTTTCCAGTTGGGCAAGTGAAAACTTTATTCCACTGTTTTTGCTTTAAGCAGCCTTCATGTATTGGTTAGTTTGCTCAGGTGTTGTGCACAGCCATCAGCAAGAGTGGTTAACCGTGGGTATTTTGAACATATTTTGCTAGGGAGGTGAAAATGATGTAGTATGCTAAAGAGGTGTATTCCCCCCTCCCTGCCCACATGCTCATTTGCTGATTCTGAAATTCCAGACCTGTTGGCTGTAACAATCATTTTTGTTGTTAATTTTAAGAAATAGGCTGATGTCTCATAGTCTGAGGAGTTAGTGAAGCTTCTGAATATACCAAATGGTGAAGCTGTGTTTCTCAAGACCTGCTCCGTGGAGTGTTGTTCCTAAGAGGTGCTCATGGGAATAAAAGATCCTGTGGACAGATAATTCAGGGACTTTGCAGACCTGCCTATTGGCATGTCAAAGGCTGTAAGAGTTCCTTTGAAACCAGTTTGAACGTTTCATTATCTGAAGACTTACGGACATCCATTGTGAACATACTTTTGAAAACACTACAGTAGAGAAGGCTGCATTGGTTTCTGGGTTGTATTTTTTCTCTCTATTGATTTAGCAGTGTGAACTGTTAAACACGAGCTCAGACAGATCCACTCCCACTAATGTGTAAGTTAGAATACTTTAGACACTGGCTTAACAGCCTTGGAAGTCAAGACTGTTGAGATAAAGTACTTAATTATAAATATAAAAGTTGCTCTTAAATTATTATATCTTTGGAGTTCAAATATTTTAATAGCTGTTTTTTAAAAATAGCTTTAATAAGTCATTTTAAAGGAGTAAATCCTGGATTAAAAAGTTGTGTAATGTTTTCTATGTGAATTTGGGACTGAATTGTAGAACCAATAAAGCTGAATAGCCTCCACAGAACCCCTACAGTCTACGAAAGGGAATGAAGTGGCATTGCCAGTGTAAATGCTGGCAGCGCACTTGCTCTCCATGTAAGCCAGAACTGGTTTATAGATCCAGTGACCTGTATTGTGTGATCATCATTAAAGAAAGGCCAAAGCCGAGAGACTAGCAAATGTCTCATCTGCAGTGTATCAGCAGTTCTTGGGCTTCAGCTGCTGAATAGATAATCATTCTAATTGAAGATAAATTACATGAACCCACATATGAATGATAGATATGCTATAACATTTCATTCCTGGTGCATAAAATCAGCCATAGTTTTTATTATTAGCACTTTCTTTTCAGGGGTTTTGGAATTCCAGTTCTATTCCTGCTGGTTTAAGTATGACCTTGAGATCATAGAATTCCTAAGAGTTTTTGAAGGGATGTTGTAGGTTCTGTTTATACTGGCTTCCCTTTGCCCCACCCCAAGGTTGTTTTCTGTGTTGCTCTCTCCCCTTTCCGCATGTAAGTATAAAAAAGTGTGTACAGACAATTGTTTATTTTAAGTTGCTGGTACTGATTGGTGACCCTGACAGTTGGCCTTAGTTACCCTAGAACTGTGGCAGAGGGGCAAAGGATGGTACATGTCCCAGTTATTGATTAAGATGACCTCTTCTGTCCGTATGATCCAGCTGCTCTTCTCAGGCTGTAAGGTAGAATTTTGGAGTTTGGTTTTTAGTTATTGGGCTGTAGTAGTCTGCCCAGAAAAGAAAATTGAATAACAAAATATTCTTTAGGTCAGTACACAATGTGTTCCTTATACACGCAGAAGGGAAAGGTATTTTAAACCCAACTCTCAATTTGGCTCTTATGTTCCCAGCTGATGAATTCTCACTCTGTCAGGGAATGATATGTGATACCAGCCTTAGGAACTCTGTTCAACCATAAATCTTTCTAGTTAGCTTGGTGTATTAGTTGAGTGAAATTATAGAATATGAATTATTGAATACAGTTTTGTTCAACCAATAGGCGTTTGATATACAGAATGGTAAATTTAAATATAAATTAAGATTTTTCCATATTTTGCCCCAGCACAAGACTCTTCTGTGGCTCTTTTGCTTTAACCACCCCATAATGAGAACTTTAATGAGGCCTAAGCTATAAGATGTGCTTTTATTTTAGACTATATGCCTGGGATAGGTTTTGGCAAAATTTAAATTAAAGGTAATTTTTTAAACCAGTGATGTTACTCTAATATTGAAGTAGTAGCTCATTGTGAGAGTTAAAGTCTTGTGTTTTTTCATGGAGGAAGCTAGCCAACAATTGACAACACCAACAAACGCTAATGAGTCTCATTCATGTTACACTCAGAGAAATTTTTTTGAATACACATCCATTTGGTGCATTTAAAAGTTGGATTTTCTTCTCCCACTTGCTAAGATGTACTGATTTCTGCCAAACCCTTAAGTGGTTTTGTTATCTTGTGCATTTCATGAGGCCAACCTTATTTTGTAACTAAAAATTAATTCAGTTTATGTACACAGAAGTTTGGTCATTTCAGAAATGTGATACCCTCTGAATAATCTGATAAGAACAATTGAATTTGCTGTTAACAGTAAAAAAAAGCCCTAAAGCCCTCCTGTAAGCTGTTTTTCCCTTGCCTGACACATTGTGGTGATTATATGTCTTTTTGGCCACTCATAACGTACAGGACTGAGACTCCCCCCCGCATCCTTCTGTGCCTTTTCCTGTATTACTTTCATGCTGCTTTTGGCCGTTACCGTCTAGACACATGTGAGATGATGCATTCAAGACTTAACAAATATGCCTTTATGATTTCTCACCTAATATTCTACAGTTCAGTCTAAGGCCTTGGGCAAGATGAAAGTGTTTATACTGTAATGTTTTCATCAAGTGGTATCAACTTGAACTTTTAGGCAAATGTGAAGAAACGCTATGCTTAACTGTATAATTGTGGGGGGTTTTAGCCATTAGAATTGAAGCTGACGTCAGCCAGCTGACCTATTTGTTTCACCCAAAGAGAAAGATGTTTCCAAAAATATTTTTTGCTGTAGACAGTGTAAAGATAAAAAGGAATTATATAATTTATTACATGAAATAAATTTTTAATAAATCATTGACAGTACATTATATTATTTTACCTAATTTCTACAGATAAAACCTGCAAGTACAGATAACTAACACAAAATCACTTGTCCATTTTTTATTCAGTCACTATCACCTTGTCTAGATTATCAACAAGAAAAGTCATACTTATAATGAAAATCATGAGTCATGGGGGGTGGGGGATGGTAAAGTTTCTTTTTTTAAAGAGTAAGGAGATGACATTCCAGCAGACTTTTCGTAAAGGATCTATTAACTATAGAAGGTTGGATGCTTAGAAGTTAATCTTTTCTTAAAAAAACCACTTTGTCTTTTATTTGAAAATAAAGTAGATTAAAATCTTCAGCAGATATTATTTCTAAATTGTGCTATTTGAATTTTGCAGGTAGTTCTCATTGCATTTGGAGTTAGATTTCTGCACTGGTGCTTAGTATAACCGTGTGAGCTCACACACTTCATCTCTCTGAATCTTGGTCTCATTTAAGTGAAATTGGTACAACCTTATAGGATTGAGGACTAAATGAGATGATAGTATGTGTAAAATGATTAACTCAGTGCCTGAAACATAGCACTTACTGTTAATAACTGCTATAATGCTCTGCACACAGCTGTACTGTACCAAGGGGTGCTAGATTTTAATCAAAATATAGTCACTGTCTAGTTTAGTAGAACTTTCAGAAGAATTTTTTTGAGAGGGAGTCATCAATGAGTTTTGTCTATTCGCCAATGGAAATTAAAGTTGGTTTTAGATGACCATCTTTTTTTATTTTCAGTTTTTCAATTTTGGTTTCTATGAGTTACCTTTTGTTTTGCATTTATATTTGAGAATATTCTAAAGAAAACCATATTTAAAGTGCATTAACTATTTTATGTACCTGAAATGTCAGGCCGCAGCCCAGGAGGGATGTACAGAAAAGGTTTGTGCCTCAATGACTTACACATCGGTTGCATTATCTGACCAAAGTTTTTGGTGTAATCAGATCTGCAAGCATGGCAGTAGTTCATTATATTTAGCCCTGTTTTTAGATGACTACAGTGGAATGACTGATCATGGCTCCCAAACTTACATTGAGCAGACCTCCGTCCTGAATTCCACACTTGTGTGAAACTGCCTGATCATTCCTGGATGTCTTAGTAGACATCTCAACTTCTACACGATCCCTTGGTCTCCCCGCTAAAAACCTGTTCCACCCACAGCCTTCCCCATTTGAGTTTATCATACTTCTGTTCTATCATCTGCTTAGGCCAAAAACCTTGGACTCATCCTCAACTTCTCCTTCACATTCTACATCAATCCATCAAGAAATCATGTTGGATATACCTTAAAAACTTATCCAGAATCAAACCACTGCTCAGCTCCCGCTCTGCCACCAACCAGGTCTGAACTACCAATGTTTCTTGTCTGGGTTACTGCAGTAGCTCCCAATCCCCACCTTGCTTTCAAACGCTGCAGGCACTTCTCTGCCTTAGAGCCTTGACTGCAGCTGTTCCCTCTGCCTGCGAATGTCTCAACCCAGATGCTTGGCTGGCTCCCTCACCTCCTTCATGTTTTTAATCCAAGTTTCCCTTTTCAACGAGGTCTGCTAAGACTATACTTTTAAATACTGTAGTTATCTCCCCCACTTTAACATTGTCCTCAATTCTACTGTGCATAAGAATCACGTGGGGTTCTTAGTAAAATGCAGATTTGAGTTGAGTAGGTCTGGAGTGAGGCCAGCATTTCTAGCAAACCCCTGTGTGATACTGTTGGCCCATGGACCACACTGAGGAGCAAAAGTCCAGCACCTTGTGTAATTCACGTATTTCTGTGTCCTATTGTTTGTCTCTCTCTTCTGTAGAGCATACGCTTCACCAGAGCAGGATCTTAGTTCTGTCCACTCACGTCCCAGGCACCTAGACACCTGGCACATGACCGACACTCGACTCTTTGTTGTGTGAATGTTCAATAGGCATTATTAAATATTCACGTAACTGTGAAATCCCATCTTGTCTGAAACTATTCAGTGGTTTCCATTGCTTTTAGAACAGAGCTCTAAATATTCTATTCCATGTGGCTCTGCTCTTCCTTCTAGAAAAGACCTGCTACCCGCTGCAGGGAGTGTGCTTAGCGGACAGCCTCCCTGCTGTTAGCTCCTTCAAGGTTGGCTCAAAACTCGGTGTTTGAGCCACAGTCAAGTTCTTTGGTTTCAGAGCAAGGTGGTGCTATAGGGGCCTGGCTCTCTCCACCCCATGCGACTCCTCTAACAGGTAGTCTTTGCTTCAGGGCTCCCCTGGGGGCTGGCTGAACTTTGTGGGGTCTGCATCACAGACTGATGGCTCCCCCTGCCCCAGCCTGCTTACCCCCTTTTTATAGGGCCTTACTCCCCCATAAACCTTTGTTCTCTTTTTTTTAGCTTTAAAAAATTTTAAGTTAGAGTCGACATACAATATTATATCAGTTTCAGGTGTACAACATTAGACATTTATATACCTTAAGAAGTAATCATCACGAGAAGTCTAGTAACCATCTGTCACCATACACAGTTATTACAATATTATTGACTATATTCCCTATGGTGTACTTTCCATCCTTTTGACTTATTAAAAAGCTGAGTGTTATTCCACACTCCCCCCTCCAAAACATTTGGTCATAGAGGCAGAAAGTACTTATAGTTAGAATGCTGTCAGAAAAAAACACACAAAGCAAAAACAAACCTCTCCTTGGAGAAGTGAACTGGAAATGTGCCGTCCAGAGCTCCTAGGATACTTGGTCTAATGGAACTCCCCCTTTGAAGCTGTCTCCAGTAAGGAAGCTGGTGGCTCTGAAAATGACTACCCAAAGTCACATGGCTAATTTCAGGTTAGAGCCTGGAGCCACCAATGGACCAATGACAAGGCAAGGGCTGATCTGAAGCAGGTTGAGAAACCCCTGG